ACGTATAGAATAAATGTGAATGGAAACAAATACAAAGATAAATCGGATTACGCATGAAATAATCATGAAATGTGCTGGATAATCCGCATTCGACATCGTATTTTTATATATTTATATCCTTCAACGTTTAAATGCTGGCTCATGTTGTGCAGTACAACCTGTACGTTGTTTTGTGTGGTGGTGGTAGATAAGTAGGCGGGTGAACATTCCCCCACACAAGCATATAAGTTGGCATATATCGCATACTTAATTTACATTAGTAAATTTACATTTGTGACATTTATTACAATTTCAATCTAATCTTAAAAATTGGTTTTCCTCAAAATCTTATTTACTCTATCACGTCAAGGTAGAAGTATTGATGCGAAATTATTAAATAACACACAGACACACACACACACATATAACATATAAAGCAAACAAACGGACAAAAAAATCTTCTTTCATACTGGTATTTATTTAAACAGAGGAAGAAATACGATTTATTGTTGGTGCACGGTACTATGTGTGTTGTAAGAATCTATGTGTGTTCGTGCAAGCAACGGTGCACGCGTGTGTACAGTTTAATGTGCACACAGTGTGTACAAAGTATGCAGCATATACTCAAAGCAGTCAGCCATAAAAAAGAATTGTGGTTGTTTGGGTTGGTCACTCACTTATTGATTGGTAACAAGGCTTCGGACCATTGCGTCAACGATGGCATGGTGTATGATGTTATGAAGATGTAGTCAATAGTAAGAATAGTTAGGATGTCCGGCTTACGTGTCTGCTTGCCATTCTGCTTCTCTCCTCCTCTCTCTCTCTTTCTCCCGATGAAATAAATAACAATTAATGTAATGAGAAAATATTAAAAATGATAACAAACCAAAATAACAATACCGGCAAATTTATTTAATATGATTGTTGCACAAAACATTTTTTTGTCAGATTTCTACCTTTTAAAGACGTCATTAACTTTTTATTTTTGGACAGTTTTTCTTGTGATAAATAAATATGATAAAAAAATTTAAGTTGAATTTTTTTAAGTTAAAAAAACCCAAAAACATTCCCACACCGGGAATTGAACCCGGGCCGCCAACGTGAAAGGCTGGAATCCTAACCACTAGACCATGTGGGATATACTAACTTTGCGTTTAATAATCAAACCATCAAAACATGAAGCGGCTAATTAAAACGAAGACTTGTTAGCTTTTCGATTTAAAATAAATGTTTTTTTAAATTATTAATTACTATCAGTAGCCAACATCTAGGCGTCAAACGTCGATCCCACAGCTTTTGACATTTTTCAGAAATTTTATTTTTATATTTTTTCTTTATATAAAACAAACGCTTCATAATTTATATATTTATTTTACAGTTAAAATGAAATTTTAATAGGTTATTTTATAATTTTTTAGATTTTCTTTGTTTATTAACTGGTTTTTTGTGATTCGATTGTTTCTTTTAAAATAATTTCTTCAAATAGCAATGAAAATAAATTATGGAAGGAACGATAGATGTCCACGTGTATGACGCACTGGCGAAGTACGATAGCACAGTTTCAATGCAGCATTGTTGATAGATTCCGGAATGTGTGTAAGATTTTGAAACATATAATTTGATGAAGTGATAGTACCATTGCGTTATGTTTTTTTTAATAATATTTACCTATCATATGCGAAACGTTCTTTGCCCGCGTTGAAACTCGTTTGGAGACGAAATGCCACCTATAAAACTTTTTCTGAACTGCAATTTATACAACGCTGCGTTGTATAAATTGCAGTTCAGAAAAACGCAATTCATCTGATTATTATTATTTATATTAAACCATTCATTTTTGCGTGAGTTTTGTTAATTTTTCTCTTCTCATATGATTCAACAATGAGATATATGTTCTTGTTGTAACAAATAATTTTCTTTTAATAGCATCAAACCAGATAATGAAGTTGTATTTACATTTAATGGTATTGAGTATCTCAAATTAAATACTGAAGTCTGTCTGATGATAAATTCACGCTGCAAACAATCAATCGCTAATTCATTACATTTTATGAATTATATTCGTCACATTTTTTAATCTTGTTCACTAACCATTTTTTTAAATTTTACATTACAATTCAGCAAGAATCTTATATCTTGAATCTCTAGGGTCTGAAATGACGCTTACCTATTTTATTTGATTGTTTGGTTTTATAAAACTTCTGTTATATTCTGTACTCTATCCTGCGTTTTATACTTTTCAGTTCCTCATAGATCTATCTAAGAAGAAAAGAAAAGTGTATCTGAAAATTAAAAACTTGGTTGCAGTTTATTGGCATTTATAACAACTGAACTGGTGCAAACATGGGAAAATTTTTTGTTGCAACAATTTGTTTACACTCAGATAGTAGTTCCATAAAATAAAAAAAAATGTTATTTTTAAATTTTTCTTTCGTCGCCAGCAGCCAAGAACCAAAATTATATTGTACTGTCTGAGTCTGCTCTGCATAAAATGCGAGCATCCTGACAACAGAACAAGGAGTTACAAAAAGCGTCAAAAAATATGTCTGTTTTCTATCTTTTTCTTTTTATTCTTTCTTATGTCTGCAGCTACAAAAGCATGTTTTTACTTTTCGTCATATTTTTACCTTTGTTATTTTTTGATAATTGAAAAAAAATTGTGACAAAAACATAATGTTGAAAGCATCATAGCAACAAACGAACGGAGGCTTCTATTTGTTTTTAAAATAAAAAAACTTTCTCTTCATTTTTCAAAAACTCGTTGCCAACAAATACAATCTAAAAAAAGGAGTAATTTTTTAAAGTAGAAATTCGCGTCATAAGTGAAAAAATGTTATGATGTGCAAGTATCATCGGTAAAATGAAAAAAGTTTCTGGAAAAAGCGTTAAAATTGTCCACCCATTGTAACTTGGATATGTTTTTATTCTCTTTTGAGAATGCCGCTTTTTGTGAAAGCCCCAATCGATGCCTTAGCCCATGCTGTCTCCTTAATCCGGCCTTGGTTAGGGTTTGTCCGTAGACCCTACCTGTAAGGTCTATTACAACGTAAATAAAAATAGAAAATCTTAAGCAAGACTTTTATTACAACAATAAAATTTGTTACAACTGATTGAAACAACAATAAACGTTTTAATGAAACGCTCGTTCATATAATGCTGCAACTGCAGTATAAACTGCAAAATAATTGGGACGTGAATTTGTTGTCTAGGATCAAATTAATTGTCTTTGGGGTTTATTTGAATATGCAATTACAAACAAAACAATAAAATCAACATTTGATTCAATAATTATTACAGCTTCAAATATTCAATTCATTGGATGATTGATCGATCGATTGATTGATATAAAAGTTCAATTAAATTATTTCGAACAGATCTTGCACTGTTCAACAGAAAATTAAAAATTAATTTCAAAATAAAAGCAAATTATTTCAATCACGAATTTTCACTGAGCAAATAACTTTTTCAACAGAAAACGTACTAAAAAAAACCATAAGAATCAACCTAAAAGAGCTATTTAATTAGCATTATACTAGACCGTTAAGACAAATAACTGCAGAATTCAAGAAAATTTATCACTTGAAGGTTCTTGATATTTGAAGTTTTTTAAAAATTATTTTTAGAACTACCTGACATGCTAATAAAAATACAAGAAGACATGCGAAGAATAAATCAAGGTGAGATAAATATCAAGAACAGTTTCAACAACGGCATTACACGCAAAACAAAATGATCGCAAGGAGCGCAACTACACTTTCTGTGCAACAACATTTTATACAAGCATGTCTCTTCGACAACAGTATCGTAGCTCAGCAACAAACTTCTAACCAATCCACGCACACACAGACATACACAGCGCCATTAAATAAACAACAAAATGTAAGATAGCACAACTTGAATAGAAATTATAATTATATATGCATTGTTCTAGATGTCACTAAAGTACATACATGCATATACGTAATACGAAACACTGTAAGCTCCATTTCATTATTTGAATAAATTTGAATAAAATATAGTTTTAAATGTTACAACTAAGTTACATATATGTATGTATGCACGTATATATGTGTGTAGAAAAATAAATATTATTTATTTTCTATACTTGTCTTATATGAACATGTAGACTGGATATTCAACCATAAAACAGAACCGCAGTAACCCCTGCATCTGCACATCATCTACCAGCAACATCATCGTCGTCACCAGTGCTATCTTCAGTTAACGAAGAGTTCAGTGCGGTGGCTTCATCGGTTGATGATGCGATCGAGACGTCACCTTCGGCTAAGAGAACTTCATGAAAAGGAGTAGGTGTCCTTTGCAGCTTCCTCTTGTCCAAGCTGGGGTCTTCGTGAGAGCTTACAAACGTTACTGATTGTCTACGAATGTTGGAAGCTTGTGAGCTGTCGTCAACGTGGAGCGTGTCGTCGTCGTTGTTGTCGTTATCGCCGGCGTCAAATCTGCAAGGCTGTTCTTCAGGAACCGAGATGGGCGTTGTCGGTTTTTGTGTCGGTTCGCAGGTTTGATGGTCGTTGTGTAGCTTGAGGATCGGGTGATGAGGAAGCTGATCGGTATGTTGGTGATGGTGGTGGGCCTTGCTGTCCGCCAAGGTTGACGCTGGTGACGACATTTCAACTTTTTTGCTCATTCTTTCTTTATACTCCTAAATTTTTTATAAACCGAGCGTAACAAACTTTATGTTGCGATTGTGCAAGTATCCTTTGAAAGTGTAGTGTTACGATTACGAAGCTCTTTTAGTTTAGACTCATTTGATGCAATCCCACTGAAAATGATATTGATTAATATTAATTTAATAAATATCTCACAGATTATGAAAGAGTTAAAAGACGAAATATTCAATTACATATTAGTCGTGCAGAGGCTTTCTACAATAGTCATCAAACAATTTTACTCTCAAACGATTAATAATAATGGACTCATGCACTGTTGAAACCGTCTAATCGAACTGTCAGTTAAAATAGTGCAGGAGCAGGATCAATTCGTAAAATTAAAATTAATGAACTCTACACGACTTAACATTCATTTCATATGCATGTATATATATTATTTACATTTCTACTTTTTATACATACATGGTTCATATATATGTTGTATGTATATATATATATATATATATATATATATGTTGTATATATATACAACATATATACACATATATACACATATAAATACATGTGAATGTTGAATCGCACGCACGCTCCAACCAATATCAACAGGTGTTATTTACTGGTTTGTTGAATATAAATGAATGAATCACTAATTAATTAATTAATTACTAATTAATAGCTACCAATTAATTGCGTAAATGATGCATTTACATAATTAATAATTGTGTTTAATGCAGTTTCTCAAATGTGTTTATGTGAGGCTATATATAGTTATACTTATTATTACGCAATTACGGAGCAAACAAAATATGAAAAATGTGAAAAATGAATTTCAGTAGAAAGACATAACACACTGTTTTATCAGCATGTCACGTTTGCGCTGTTAAGTCTCTTCATTCACATCGTTTCTTTTAATATTTGTCTGATTTGATTGAATGCAAATTTAATGAGCTTCTTGGTAAATTTCCAGACCTGTCCGTGCGTGGTCATTAAAAAGCAATTTCATTTGAGAATGACACCTTCTGGAAATTAAACGAACCATTGAATATCTACGTATTCTTTGGTAAGTTTAGTTTTCCGTATTTTAAGTCAGTGTAAATGTAACGTTCTTGTGTTAAGGCTAAATCTGATTGCGTGTTACCCGTGAACGTGGGAAGGACAGCAAGCAAGCCTGAGAAATTGTAATGCTACCACCTATATTTTATTCTAGATTAGATATGCTTAATTATGTTCCAACTTCATATTGACACGTTTAAAAATGTTTAAAAATGTTACAACCATTGAAGGCTGCCAACTTTATTATAGTATCAGGCTTACATTGTGCTATTAGTAACGTGCGATTTAATGTTGCTCAGCATCAATGTTATTATTTTTTAAGAATTCACATCTCCACATTCCACAGAAACATTCATTAGCAAACTTAAAACTTGTCACTCAGAGATTTACAGTAGACAGATAAAAAGGATGGAAGGAAGAAAAGGATGATATCTTGTTGGACGTGGGATTATTCGAATTCCATGCAGCCCTGCTGACGTGCACCTGACACTATGTAATCCAACATGAGGTTCTGCTCATTTAATTTAATCTTAACAAAGTCGCAGAATAAAATAGAAAATTATATGAATGCATAAAATAATTGAATAAAAGAGATTGTTTAAAGAGGCTATATAATATTAAAATTTTTGGGAAAACTAAAAAACGCAGATGTCGCAAGGCACTGTGAAGGAAGTGGAATGAAATGTTTTCATGGATGTGTGGTCTGCAGGTAGGAGGCAGCATGGGTGTGTGTGGTGTTTCAATGAGTACATATGCATGTGTTGTGTGTGTGTGTGTGTGTGTGTTGAATGTGCACAAGAAGTCATGTATGCAAATGTTCTTGGGGGAGTACGACACAAAGCCATCGATCAATCGATTGGACGATCAATCAACTGACGTACAGCCGACCTGCTTGTCATTTCAGTTCACTACGATTGCTCCTATCATTTCAACTTCTGTTTGAAAAATAAAACGTAGATTGACAGAAAATTTAAAGGAATAGCTGAATGTTTAGACGAGTTTTCATGGATGGATGGATGGATGGATGGATGGATGGATGGATGGATGGATGGATGGATGGATGGATGGATGGATGGATGGATGGATGGATGGATGGATGGATGGATGGATGGATGGATGGATGGATGGATGGATGGATGGATGGATGGATGGATGGATGAATAAACTGAAGCGCACTATAATGAATTAATGATGAATAGTCATTACCCGAGTGCACAGTATAATTAATTCAACGGTTGGTTGGAAGGTTGTTTGGTTAATTTATGAACGAGAAAGGAGGCACAATTAAGAGAAAATATGTTAAAGAAAGAATAGATTGATCGTGTGCTGCAGCAAACAAAGGAGACAATTGGTGGAGAGATGAAGTGGCATTCGAGGGATTTATAAATAAGCAGCCATCGTTTGTAAATATTTCACGAGAAACATCTAGAACATCTGTTCACCATAGCGTAGGGTTGGGAATAATAGCGATACATTCATAACTAGACAGTAGACATAGACCGTTTATAGACACTCGTTTACAATACACAACGCTGCGTCTATCAATTTGTATGTGCGAATATTGTATGTATTTTTTTATTTTCCTGAAAGGCATGAATGTATGCGTGTATTTAAATATGTATGTACCGTATATGTGCAAATATGTATGTGAAATAGACGGATGGCTTGTCTAATTGTGAAAAATTCAAAACATCGTAAAAATGTAACTTTCCGACATTTAGGACCACTCCATTTGAAGTGCTTTAAAGCTAAAAAATGTTCAACAATTTTCAAAACTTCATCTATAGGAACGTGAACATAACAAATTGACAAAATAATGTAACGAAATTACATCCCAAATACTTCAACTTGAAATATATTACACGCACGCACAGAAACACACAGTCACACACGCACACAAACACATACATGCACACATGTACACATAGACTTAAGTTACTTTGTACATATGGAAGAATGCAGTAATGAAATTGAGATGAGTGACTGAACACTGGAGCTGCATTTAATGAAACGTCGAAATGGAAAGTAACAATATTTATTAGTTTACTCTTTGCTAATTAAATCTGTATTGAATTCTATAGTTACATTTTTATAACCCAATGTTCATGTTTTGTTTTTCGTATTTTCCAAACTTATCCCAAAAAGTGGCAATTAATTTATTCCACTGAACAACGAAACCAAGCTTAATGACGACAAAACTTCTTAAACTAACCTAATAGAAAGTGCTAGGTTTGTTATGATGGAAATAATTCTAATGAAATGCAAATAAGAAAATAATGCAACAAGATTCATATTATCAATTAATGATACCGGATAATATTGAACTATCGTCGTTACGCTCTATACAATCAGTAAATACTTGCCTCAATTATTTATTGTAATAATGACACATAATTACACTGCACCAAACTAACAATGTGAGACGTCAAACAGGCAATGTATGTGTATCTCAGCAAACATCACTACATTTTTACTATTGTAGATATAAATAAATAAAAGCGAGTGCCAGCTGGTGACAGCTCACATTCAATATTTGCAGCTATTTATAATGAGTTATATGCGTCCAGGTTCATATTTCGCTGCGGTTTATATTTCACAACGTTGTGTTCTCGTTAAATTTAAATAATCCATGCATGTAGCGGCACGACGAATCCCTGTGACTGGACTGCACTTCGCTGGAATGATGAACAGCGTTCATGGAAATATTGCCGATTAAAAAATATTGATCAAAAAGTAATATTATTTATTGCGCTGATGATGAAAGTTAATTACTGAAAAATGACACGAGATAATGAAAAACAGCAAGTTGTCATTTGAACGGACAGTCTATATATAAGCACACGTTCAAAAGTTATAAATACTGAAAGGCAACAATCGTTGAACTCACTGTACAGTACACTGTACAGTGCAGTTCACAGATAAGATGAGTGAATAAAACGACGGCAGATGTTGTGAGATTGCACATAAGACGTGTGGTGCCGTATAATCAAACAAGAGAGACACTAAAAAACCAGAGAGGTTCAAATGCTAAATGAAAAATTTACATCGCAGCAGGTACTATGCAGCAGAAACATGAACTGAACATGCAGCCACAAAATACGGATACAAGAAATAAACGACATTCACGCATGTATTTCTTTGTAAAACATCTTATAACAGGTTTGTGTGAATCAGCATTATTGAGTATTGAGTTATTATGCTGATGTGTTAGATTTTATGATCAGCAGTGGCGTGTTGGCGAGGCAATTCTGTGCCGATGGGCTGGTTCATTCTTATCTGCCGGCTTAATGCGATATTTTTGATTTAGTATGTAGTTATATATATATATATATATATATATGTGTGTGTGTGTGTGTGTGTGTGTGTGTGTATAAGTGTGCGTGTGTGTGTTTGTGTGTTTGTACCTGTTTCCGAATGTGTTTGTTTGCTTGTCGGTAGCTGAAATGGAAGGTCTGTTGCGTCCGCGAGTTTTTTTGGAGCATTTGAAGGATTAATTTTGAGATTGTTTGTGAATGAATGCTGTTTGCCAATTTTTTTAATCTCGCAGCATCTATAGCCACACAATCATCGTCGTCGTCGTCATCATCATCATCATCGTCATTATCATCATCGTCATAATCGTCGTCATCATGTTGACACATCAAACTTTCATCATCGTCAATTAAATATATTAAATTTCTTTCGGCATTTTTTGCAATATTTCATCATCATCATCTTCATCATCACCATCAATGCCAAGACGTCAACGTTATCAGTATCACCACCACCATCATCAACATCATTATCATGATCACCATGATAATCATGATAATCATGATCATTATCATCATACTCCTCTCCACACATCACCTTCATCTTTGCAAACATATAAGTTTTGAGTGTTTGCAAAGACAATCACTGACGATTTGTTTACAAGTGCATGCATGCATAATCATTCATTACTGCTGATTCATATAATCGTATAATGCATGCCCCATACATTATGCATTGCGTTCACTCTGCATTATATAATTAATTCATTCTACATTATATAATGCATTTACCATGCATCCTAAAATGCATTCATCATGCATTAATTAATGCATGCCAAGCGCATGATTGAATAGGGATAATAATTAATAAAATTTATTAAATTCCTTTCGACATTCTTTGTACTATTTTATTCCATTACCATTATTAACAATATAACCATTATAATCAACATCACCACCAAGTCATCATCACAAACATCATCATCATCAACATCATCATCACCAACATCACCACCTTTGCCGACTTTTTGAAACAGTGGCGCTACGTGAACTGTTCAAAAAAATTAATTTTAAATAAAATATAAA